TATTACAACTCCGATGTTTATAAAAAGCTGTGCATGTCAGACAAGATTATTCAACTAAAACCCTCATAAGATCACAACTTGAGCAGCGTGGAGCAAAAAGGCTTCTGCAAAGGGCATCGCCAACTGACCAGGAAGCCCAGGCTGGCCTGTTCCCATACATTTCATGGCAGAAATGGCTCAACTGGAGAAATGGAGAGTTGAAAACTTAGGGAAAGTCTGTCACAAAGGTTTCTGTTAACGATCACAGTTTTTTTTTTATCGTGTCAGGAGCGACGTTTCTGGTATGAGAGAATTGGCCGTTTGCAAGGACGTTGCCCAGGGGACGCCTGGATGATTTGATGTTTTTATCATCCTTGTGGGAGGTTTCTCTCATGTCCCCGCATGAGGAGCTGGAGCTGATAGAGGGAGCTCATCCGCCTCTCCCCGGATTCGAACCTGCAACCTGTCAGTCTTCAGTCCTCCCGGCACAGGGGTTTAACCCACTGCGCCATCGGGGCCAGTTATAGTGACATAGTGAGAGAGAAAAAAGAGAATGCAAACCTTATTATTAGAAGGGTCTGGAGAACAAGGATCTGGAGAACAAGCCCTATGAGGAGCGGTTTAAAGAGCTAGGGCTGAAGAAGAGAAGACTGAGAGGCGACATGATAGCTATGTATAAATATGTGAGAGGAAGTCATAGGGAGGAGGGAGCAAGCTTGTTTTCTGCTGCTCTGGAGACGAGGATACAATGGAGCCATGGCTTCAAACTACAAGAAAGGAGATTCCACCTGAACATTAGGAAGAACTTCCTGACTGTGAGAGCCATTCAGCAGTGGAACTCTCTGCCCTGGAGTGTTGTGGACGCTCCTTCTTTGGAGGCTGTGAAACAGAGTCTGGATGGCCATCTGTCGGGGGTGCTTTGAATGCGATTTTCCTGCTTCTTGGCAGAATGGGGTGGAATCATAGAATGCAACTCTAGGATTCTATGATTCTAAGGCTGGAAAGGTTTTGCTTAAACGATAACTCTGTAGCTAGTGCTCCCATAAGCAATAACAAACTATGAAGACAGAATGGGACCTGCAGTCCCGGAACTTCTATTTTCCTTCCCGGATTAAATCTTTTGAAAACTTGCAATCCTACATTCTTTGCAAAGTGAAGTTTAAACCAATCTGAAGCCATTGCAAGACTAAGCACAGTTTGCAAAGATCTTCAACCAAAGAGGTTGAATTCACTCTCAAAATCCCCTGCCAAACAACACAGATGTGACTGGAGCGTTTTTCTGTTCTCACTAACAATCAAGAATGACATCCTAAGATCATGTATATAGATGATAATATCACAACGAGGTTTGTTTTCACTAATTGCAACCTTTAGAGATCAGAAACCTTGGACCAAATCCAGATTCCTTGTATTTGCATCCAAAAGTTAGAAAAGATTTTGAAACCATGGCGACGATACTTTTGAACAATAGTTTTGACGTGTTGTTGAAGGTTTCATGGCTGGAATCATTGGGTTGTTGTGAGTTTTCCAGGCCGACTGTCCATGTTCCAGAAGCATTCCCTCCTAATGTTTCCCCCACATCTATGGCAGGCATCCTCAGAGGTTGTGAGGTCTGTTGGAAGCTAGGAAAATGGGGTTTATATATCTGTGGGATGTTATTTGAAAACACAGAAATGCTGCAGCACTCTAACAACTATCATGTTGGACTACACAGAGAAGTCGTTGAAATCCACAGGAAGCATAAGGACAATTTCAGCAGAAAGGAGGAAACCAAGAAAATGAACTAAATCAGACTAACAGTATTTAAAAAACACTAAAATAGGGATAGTAAAAAAAGAACAACACTAAAAAAGGGGAATTCCAGACAGGAAACAATCAGGGCCAGCTAACACCTCTCAACAAAGGATTCCCCCAGGCAGGAAGTAGCCAGGCTTTGAAGCTGCAAGGCCAGTCATTGCCATTCATTGCTAATCAAGGTTGCCAAGCAGACATGAATTCTTTCTCCTAGCCTGGACATCATTCCACAGATATATAAACCTGTTTCCAATAGACCTCACAATCTCTGAGGATGCCTGCCATGGATGTGGGTGAGAAGTCAGGAGAGAATGCTTCTGGACCATGGCCAGACAGCCCGGAAAACTCACAGCAAACCAATAGTTTTGATATTTGAACCATACTGACACCATGGTGTGTAATAGATATATGGGTTCATATGGAGGTAAGTAGGGCTCAAAGCATCATGAAGCCTAATCATCCAATATTTATCACATATCAAACATTGTACAGGAAATATATAAATATCATGTGTATAATCTGAAGATGCCTACTTGCCTAACAGCTGCATTCTTTCTTCCAATGGCTTCTGGCCAATGATTTTGTTGACCAGGCCTGATAGACAAAGCAATTAAAGCTTTGGGCCAGCTTACTTGTCCGAACGCATCCACCCCTCCGTCCCACCTCGAAACCTAAGATCATCCGGGGAGGCCCTGCTCTCGCTCCCGTCAACAGCACAAATGTGCCTGGCAGGGCCTTCTCGGTGGTGGCTCCCCGCCTTTGGAACACATTCCCAACTGAGGTAAAATCAGCCATCTCTCCCCTGGCTTTTAGAAAGAAATTAAAGGCATGTTTTTGGGACCAGGCTTTTGTACAATAGATGCTAGCAGCACCTTAAAGGGATGTGACTGGAAAGACGTTATGGCTGACAAGACTGTTTTATTGTTTTAATGATGACTTACGTCATCTTAGCAATATGTCCTCAAATGCACTTTAATGTTGACTTAGGATTGTCTGCGCGCTCTTATCTTTCTTTGAAAACCCTATCCTTGTTTACCCTACCTTGTTTTTGCCCAGCATTTTAAATTTTAATTTTAATTATTACATTCGGCCCGGCCATAGGTTTTTAAATGCTGAATGTTATTGTTATTGTTTATTGCTTGTTGTGTATTTTTGTTTTTTAGTTTTATTTTAACTGTTTTATATTGATTATTTGTTATCACTTTGTTTATTGATGTGCAGCGGGCTTGGCCTCATGTAAGCCGCACCAAGTCCCTTGGGGAGATGGTTGTTGTTGTTCATTCGTTCAGTCGTCTCCGACTCTTCGTGACCTCATGGACCAGCCCACGCCAGAGCTCCCTGTCGGCCGTCACCACCCCCAGCTCCTTCAAGGTCAAGCCAGTCACTTCAAGGATGCCATCCATCCATCTTGCCCTTGGTCGGCCCCTCTTCCTTTTGCCTTCCACTTTCCCCAGCATCATTCCCTTCTCTAGGCTTTGCTGTCTCCTCATGATGTGGCCAAAGGACTTCAACTTTGTCTCTAGTCTCCATCCCTCCAGTGAGCAGTCGGGCTTGATTTCCTGGAAGATGGACTGGTTGGATCTTCTCGCAGCCCAAGGCACTCTCAGCACTTTCCTCCAGCACCACAGCTCAAAAGCATCTCTCTTCCTTCACTCAGCCTTCCCGAAGGTCCAGCTCTCACATCCATAGGTTACTACAGGGAAGACCATGGCTTTGACTAGGCAATGGATCTTTGTTGCCAGTCTGATGTCTCTACTCTTGACTATTTTATTGAGATTGGACATTGCTCTCCTCCCAAGAAGTAAGCGTCTCCTGATTTCCTGGCCACAGTCTGCGTCTGCAGTCATCTTTGCACCTAGAAATACAAAGTCTGTCACAGCCTCCACATTTTCTCTCTCTATTCCCCAGTTGTCAATCATTCTTGTTGCCATAATCTTGGTTTTTTTGACGTTTAGCTGCAACCCGGCTTTTGCGCTTTCTTCTTTCACCTTGATTAGAAGGCTCCTCAGCTCCTCCTCGCTTTCGGCCATCAGAGTGGGGAGATGGTAGCGAGGTACAAATAAAGTTATTATTATTATTATTATTATTATTATTATTATTATTATTTACTGTTTAATTTTGGTTTAAATTATTGTAATTGTGGTTTTAATTATTGTAATTGCTATGTAATGGCCTTGTATGAGGGCCCATTGCAAGCCGTCCTGAGTCTCCCTTCGGGGGTTGAGAAGCACGGGATAGAAATGAGGGAAATAATAAATAAATAGATAATAAAGCCTACCATTGCAAGCTCTCAAAGTGTCCTGTGGAGACTTTCAGAGGAATTTAAACAGCTCTGCCTTTCTCTGCTTCATAAATAGCTTATTTGGGGTTGCTACACAGCCAGAGATGTGCTTGCCATACCAACTTCATCCTACTATCACAGCAAATGTTTGCAGGGGCCTTCTCCAACAACAACAACAACAAAAAGTCTATTTTAGTCCCAGCCCGGGCAAGACTTGGATAAGTCAGACTGGTTCCTATAGTCCCACTCTAGTAAGGATCCAAAGGAAAGCAGAATGGTTTGCTTGTTTCCTTTCCCAGTTTCCATTCTTTCAACAGCTCCCTTCTTCTACAGACAGATGCAAAAAGCACATGCGTTTGTGGTGCTATTTTGCCCCCTGTCTTTCCAGTCTGCTAAGCTTTCTCTACACCGTTTCTCTCTCTCATTCCTACGGCATCCATCACTTTGCACACTCACTGCCTGTTATCAGGACATTTCCTGCAAGAAGAAAGGCTGGAAAAATAAAAAAGCAGCCAGCAATCCTTCTTCGCTTTGTCAACTCAAGGTCACTTTAAGCAGCGTCCTCCACATTCATCCCCAAGAGATATTAGTTGTGAAGCAGTGCCCACACCATCCCTGTTCACATGCACAATTTGACACCAGAAGGCACATATCCGCCGTCGGTCACTCTCAACACAATACACACACACATGTGGGTTTTAGAAACTTTGAAATGCTTGTATCAAATGGGGGAAAGTGGAAATTGGTCCATATATGCAAATTAAGCATGAAGCCTTGTAACTGGCATGCAGGACACACTGCAAGACAAATAATATTTTCCTTTGGCAGGGCTTACCAAACTATAAACAGCAATTATGGAGAGATGATTAGGGTGAAATGATGGATTTCCCCCATTCCTTGATACACAACGGAGGCCAGGGCTATAAGGAGAAAACTAGTTACTTACACGCATTTGTGACCGAAAAACTGTTGGAAGAATCCAGGTGATCAACGTGGTAGTTCAAGTGGAAAGGTTTCTCTGTGAAATTTTGGTTGGTGTTGTATAACTGTACAGCAAAACGGAACGCGCTGTGCTCCTGGACTGTGTTTCGCATGAAAAGTCCTCCTGCAACAGAGAAGAACATCATTTCTTTCCCCTTCTTTCTTTGTGTGTGTGTGTGTGTGTGTTAACATTGTACTTTGAATACATGGCTTTGGGATACATGCAGCCCGAGAGGCGTTTCTCAGTCAGGCAAGGCACTGCAGCAATGCCACCTTCCCGAAGCAACACATTACACGTCCAAAGCAATTCATAGCCGGGGCTTCTGCTCGACACACAACGGCTCCATTTTTCAAAACAGCACATCCCAGCAGTTTCTAAAATAAATGCAAAACTGCAGTTCTATGGACACGTTCCTAGAAATAAGCCCTACTGACAATCTGGGGAGCTACTGAATAAATGTATGGAGTTGCAAAGAGGGCTTCTCCAGCCCTTCTTGTAGCTCCATACTTCCTCTAGTCTAGAGTAAGTGCCAATGCAACAAAGAGGGTTTAAACCCAACCCAAGGAGCCCCTGGTGCTTAAATCCTTTTGCTGGCAGGACACATGGTTCTTTGTGCCGGCAAGACCGAAGACCGACAGATCGGAGGTTCAAATCCAGGGACAGTATGGATGAGCTCCCTCTGTCAGCTCCAGCTCACCATGCAGGGGCATGAGAGAAGCCACCATGCAGGGGCATGAGAGAAGCAGGACTGAAGACCGAGAGGTCAGCGGTTCATATCAGAGGAGAGCAGATTGAGCTCCCTCTGTCAGCTCCAGCTCACCATGCAGGGGCATGAGAGAAGCCTCCCACAAGGATGGTAAAACATCAAAACATCCGTGTAATGTCCCCAGGGCAACATCCTTGCAGACAGCCAATTCTCTCACAGAGCCCCCGGTGGCACAATAGGTTAAACCCTTGCACCGGCAGGACTGAAGACCGAGAGGTCAGTGGTTCGTATCTGGGGAGAGTAGGTTGAGCTCCCTCTGTCAGCTCCAGTTCCCTATGTGGGGGCATGAGAGAAGCCTCCTACAAGGATGTTAAAACATCAAAATATTTGGGCGTCTACTGGGCAACATCCTTGCAGACAGCCAATTCTCTCACAGAGCCCCGGGTGGCGCAATGCGTTAAACCCTTGTGCCGGCAGGACTAAAGACCAACAGTTCGAATCCGGGAGTGCGTGGATGAGCTCCCTCTGTCAGCTCCAGCTTCCCATGCTGGGGCATGAGCGAAGCCTCCCACAAGGATGGTAAAACATCAAAACATCTGGGCAATGTCCCTTGGGCAACATCCTTGCAGACAGCCTATTCTCTCACACCAGAAGCCACTTGCAGTTTCTCAAGTCTCTCCTGACATGAAAAAAAATTCTCTCACACTAGAAGCGACTTGCAGTTTCTCAAGTTGCTCCTGATATGGAAAAAAAAATCCCAACCCAAAATATACACAGGATTGCAGCAGTGCACATTATATGTGTGCCTCTGCATGTCTAAAAGTGACTTATAGCAGGAACCTGAGCATCTCAATGTACCAGTTCTATAGGACATGTTCAGTGTTGGACTTCTTAAATGTAGAAGCAATTTCTCAAAGCATTCAATGGTATAGATGTGTGGAAAGCACTGCAACCTTCCTCCAACAGGAATGCATTGAAAGCAAACATGTGGAGGGTAAGACAGGACTTGAACAGTAGAATCCTGTATGTGTTAACAGTGAAAGAGGGATTGCAGCTGAGTAACCAAATGTGTTGTCGTCCGCACCTATGCAGAAATACTCTGCAATAATCCCACTGAGCTTCTATGAGAATCCGAGCTTGGATAGCCTCAGGATCAGCTCCTGGTGCAAGATGCAAAGATTGCAAAGCAGCCACAAGCTTTGTCCAGTGCTGCAATTGCCATCCTTTCCCAGAGAAGCCCATTGGAGGCACAGGTTAGAGGCACTGTGGAAGTTTGGCATGGCCATCGGCACAGAGGTTTCCCTACCAATGAGACATAGGGCCAGATCCGAAGAAGAGCCGAGGGGAAGACAAAGCATCCTCTCTCTCTTTTTGGATGATTTGATGAACATTTTGTGCCCAATCTCTGTGTTTCCTAGCTTGCCTTAAGGGGGAAAACTCACTCCTCCTCCCTCTCTGTCTGTTCCTTCTGCAGCAGGGAGGAAAGGAAGCAGCCAGTGCAAAAAAGACAGAGAGAGAGAGAGAGAAGGAGAAAGAGAGCCTGAACAGAGGGAAGATGCTGCATGCAAAAGGAAGAAAACCCTATTTTTAAACACAGCTTGGCATTTCTCAATGCCCCAGAAGAACCTGAGGAGGAGGAGCAGGGATTTAATATATTGTTTGCACTCCTACTCAAAGAGTGGGGGACGAGACCAAGGAGCACATCTGATGCAAGGCTCATTCGGCTGACATGCGCAGGCATGGGCTATTTCGGGGTCCGCCTGTGCCCCCTTTGCCACCCTCTTCATCCCCCGGTCCCTTATGTCACCCTAAGCTTAGCACATCCTACTCTGCAAACCTCAAGACTTTGGGTTGGAGCTTGGGCCCTTCTTTGAGCCTCCTTCCCCAAAAGAGAGTTAAGTGGCAGGCTCAGAGACAATAAAAATGGCAACAGAAAAGTTTTGGCATTGGTCTCAGAAGCAGAGGGTGGAATGTTGCTCTTTGAGTCCACTGAAAGCAATGGGTTAGTGCATGGCTCTTTCTTCCTCAACGTCCCACGGTTCTATCAGGAAGGCTAGGCAAAAAATTACAAACCAAATGGGAGGCTGTGTATCCCAGCTCTGCAGATCTCTCTGCCAGGCAATGCAGGGTGCCTACAGGGCTCTGTGTGGCTTATAATAATAATAATAATAATAATAATAATAATAATAATAATAATAATAATAATAATAATTATTATTATTATTATTATTATTCCTCCATCTCTTCAGTTGCATCCCTCCATCCCTCTGTGTGGCTTCTAATAATAATAATTAATAATAATAATAATAATAATAATAATAATAATAATTCCTCCATCTCTTCAGTTGCATCCCTCCATCCCTCTGTGTGGCTTCTAATAATAATAATAATAATAATAATAATAATAATAATAATAATAATAATTCCTCCATCTCTTCAGTTGCATCCCTCCATCCCTCTGTGTGGCTAATAATAATAATAATAATAATAATAATAATAATAACAATAATAATAATAGACTCTTCCATCTCTTCAGTTGCATCCCTCCATCCCTCTGTGTGGCTAATAATAATAATAATAATAATAATAATAATAATAGACTCTTCCATCTCTTCAGCTGCATCCCTCCATCCCTCTGTGTGGCTTCTAATAATAATAATAATAATAATAATAATAATAATAATAACTCCTCCATCTCTTCAGTTGCTTCCTTCCATCCCTCTGTGTGGCTTCTAATAATAATAATAATAATAATAACTCCTCCATCTCTTCAGTTGCATCCCTCCATTCCTCTGTGTGGCTTCTAATAATAATAATAATAATAATAATAATAATAATAATAATAGACTCCTCCATCTCCTCAGTGGCATCCATCCTTTCAAGCCTTCTCCGGGGAGAGGAACTGCCGACAGATTATTATTATAATATTATTAATTCATATTAATTCATCAATAATATAATAATCATGAAGTCACGAAGAGTCGGAAGCGACTGAATGAATAAACAACAAAATTATTATTCTGTCCAGTTCCTCTAACCTGGAGGAAGACTCCTCAAAGGGATGGAGGGTTGCAACTGAAGAGATGGAGGAGTTTAAGGTAAAGAGAGAGACAAGCACTCCGTCTTCCTCCATCCTTCCTCCAAGGAGGGACCTCAAGCTAATAATAAATAAATAAATAAATAAATAAATAATGTGTAGCTTCCGTTACTATTATTATTATCTGCACAGAACCATTATTATTATTATTATTATTATTATTATTATTATTATTATTATTAGGTCCAGTTCCTCTGCCCTGGAGGAGGAGGACTCAGAGGGATGCACGGAAACAACTGAAGAGATGGAGGAGCTAAAGATAAAAAGAAAGACAAGTATTCCATTTTCCTCCATCCTTCCTCCAAGGAGGTACCCCAAGATCATAATAATAACAACAATATCAATGGTATTCTGTAGGCAGCTTCTCTGCCCTGGAGGATGATTCAAAGGGATGGAGGGATGCAACTGAAGAGATGAAGGAGTTTAAGGTAAAGAGAGAGAGAAGCACTCCCTCTTCCTCTATCCTTCCCCAAGCTAATAATAAAAATAATAACAACGATAACAATGTTCTGTATGCAGTTCCTCTTCCCTAGAGGAGGACTCAGTGGGATGGAGGGATGCAACTGAAGAGATGGAGGAGTTTAAGGTAAATAGAGAGAGAAGCACTCTTCCTCTATTCTTCCTCAACCCAATAATAATAATAATAATAATAATAATAATAATAATAATAATAATCTTCTGTGGACAGTTCCTCTGCCCTGGAGGATGAGGACTCAAAGGGAAGGAGGGATGTGTCTTCCTCCATCCTTCCTTCAAGGAGGCATCCAAAACTGGTGATGATGATAGTGATGGTGGTGTTGATGGTGGTGATGGGGATGATAGTGGTGATGGTGGTGGGGATGTTGATGGTGGTGGCAGTGATGGAGATGGTGGTGATGGTGATGATGGTGATGGTGATGATAGTGGTAATGGTGGAGGTGGTGGTGATGGAGGTGGTGGTGGTGATGGTGATGGAGGTGATGATGGTGATGGGGATGATAGTGATTGTGGTGGTGGTGGTGGTGGGGATGGTGGTGGTGATGGTGGTAATGGTGGTAATGGTGGTGGTGGTGATGATGGAGGTGGTGTTTGTGATGGGGATGGTGATGGAGGTGATGATGGTGATGGTGGTGGTGATGGGGATGGGGATGATAGTGATGGAGGTGGTGGTGATGGGGATGGTGATGGAGGTGATGATGGTGATGGTGATGATAGTGGTGGGGATGGTGGAAGTGGTTGTGATGGTGGTGGTGATGATGGAGGTGGTGGAAATGGGGATGATAGTGGTGATGGTTATAGTGGTGAGGATAGTGATGGTGGTGGCAGTGATGGAGATGGTGGTGATGGTGGTGGTGGTGATGATGCTGATGGAGGTAGCGGTGGTGGTGATGGTGGTGGTGGTCCTTACCGATGCTGATGGTGTTGGGGAATCCTCCCCCGGCCTCGCCCAGCATCCCGGCCAGGACCAGCAGCAGAGTCGGGGGCAGCGCCGGCTGGGGGCGGCCCATCTTCTCTCCTGCCCGCCTTGCCTTCTGCCTCTCCTGCCTCCGCGTTGGGTGCCCTCAAGGCGATCCTGTCCGGAGGGGCATCGGGAGGGGGAGGGGGAGGCGGAGGAAGAAGACCCCGGCCGGGCCGAAGGAAGGGCTCCTGCCTGCCGCCCCCGCCAGAGAAAGAGAGCCACACACACCGAGAGGCAGGCAGGCAGGCAGGCAGGCAAGACCGGGCTCTCTCCCTCTCCCTCTCTCTCTGTCTCGCTGTCCCGCGTTCTCCTCCTCCTCTTCCTCCTCCTCCTCCTCCTCCCTTCCTTCCTCCTTTCCTTCCCTCCTTCTTCCCTCCTTCTCCTTCCCAGGAACCCGGCTCCGCTCCCGACCGCTCTCCGGGCTCAAACTTCCTCGCCTCCCGACGCCGAGGCTTCTTCACCCAGGCGCATCCTCCTCTCCCTCCTGCTCTGGAAGAACGAAAGGAAGGGAGGGAGCGAGGGAGGGAGGAAAGAGTGGAGGAAGGAAGGAGGCGCTCCACTCCAAATGCAGCAAAGCAAGAGGAGCCCCCAAGCCCAGCCAGGAAGCCTTGCCTTCCTCCTTCCCTCCTTCCTTCCTTCCTTCCTTCCTTTCAGAAGAGAGACAGATCAGGGAGCGGAATGGCCGAAACTAACACCACGGATTCCAACAAGGACACATCTCCCAGACCACACTGAAAAGAGATGCAAAAGTTACACAATGGGGGACTATGCCTGGCTCCAGGTGAGAAAGATCTTGGAGCACAAGTTGAGCCAAGAGGGTGATGCCGCAGCTCAAAAAGCCAATGAGGAGTCTAGTGTCCATGGGAAGTCATGGCGCCTCTCTCTCCTGCTTTGGTTAGACCTCTTTACCTAGAATTCTGTGTCCAGTTCTGGGCACCACAGTTCAAAAGAGATATTGAGAAGCTTGAAGGTGCCCAAAGGAGGGCAACCAAAATGATCCAAAGTCTGGAGACTATGAAGAATCCCTCTGAGGAGCATCTTAAAGAACTGGGCATGTTTAGCCTGCAGAAGAATCATAGAATCATAGAATCATAGAGTTGGAAGAGACCTCATGGACCATCCAGTCCAACCCCATCCTGCCAAGAAGCAGGAATATTGCATTCAAATCACCCCTGACAAATGGCCATCCAGCCTCTGCTTAAAAGCTTCCAAAGAAGGAGCCTCCACCACACTCCGGGGCAGAGAGTTCCACTGTTGAACGGCTCTCACAGTCAGGAAGTTCTTCCTCATGTTCAGATGGAATCTCCTCTCTTGTAGTTTGAAGCCATTGCTCCATTGCGTCCTAGTCTCCAAGGAAGCAGAAAACAAGCTTGCTCCCTCCTCCCTGTGGCTTCCTCTCACATATTTATACATGGCTATCGTATCTCCTCTCAGCCTTCTCTTCTTCAGGCTAAACATGCCCAGTTCCCTAAGCCGCTCCTCATAGGGCTTGTTCTCCAGACCCTTGATCATTTTAGTCGCCCTCCTCTGAAGAAGAGAAGGTTGAGAGGAGACATGAGAGCCATGTATACATGTATGAAAGGGAGCAGGCTTCCTTTCTGCTGCCCTTGAAACTAGGACTCAGAGCCATGGGTTCAAATGACAGGAAAGGAGATTCCATCTGAACATTAGGAAGAACTTCCTGACCATAAGAAGAGCTGTTCAGCAGTGAAACTCTCTGCCTTGGAGTCTGGTGAAAGCTCCTTCCCTGGAGGCTTTGAAACAGAGGCTTGATGGCCATCTGTCAGGGGTGCTTTGGCTGTGCTTTTCCTGCATGACAGGGGGTTGGACTAAATGGCCCATGTGGTCCCTTCCAACTCTATGACTGTAAGGCAATCTCAATAACAACTTCTCCTCCTCCCCCCTTTCCTTCTCCATCTCCTTCTCCTTCTCCTTCTCCATCTCCATCTCCATCTCCATCTCCATCTCCATCTCCCATGTGGCCCTTGTGGTCTCTTCCAACTCTATTATTCTATGATTCTATGAGAAGAGTACAGTAGAGAAGGGAAAGAGGAGAGTTCAATGGAGCATGGAGAGAAGGAAGGAGAGGGTGACATAGTCCCAAAGAAAGGAGGAGTTGAATATGATGGATTGAATGTTGGATGGATAGATGTGGGCTCTGTTGGCCCAGTGGTGGTGGGTTTTTTTAATGGGTGGTCCCTTTAAGAGGACACCTCAGAAGCTGAGGAAGATCACTCAGTGGTGGATGGGGACTTGAAGAAGTGTCCCATTCTTTTTGGGTTCTTTCCTATATCACTATCATTTTCATCATCACCAGTATCATCATCCAGCATCTCCAATTCTTGCCACTTTGTGTCTCACCCAAGAGATGATGATGATGATAATGACTGGAGAAAACAGAGAGAAAAATTGGGGTATCAATGGAAAGGATGGAGAGAAAAAGCAGGGTATAAATAAACATCATCATTATCATCACCGTCGTCGTCATCATCATCCAACATTGTCATTTTTACCACTTTGTGTTTTGCTCAAGAGACTATGATAATGATGATGATTATGTTTATTTATACCCCGCCTTTTATCTCCCCAAGAAGACTCAAAGTGGCCTAGCATGTCAAAAACTATTTAAAGTCTACAGATACAAACATGAAAACAGAATTAAATATCATTGGTGTGTGTGTTTGTGTGTGTGTGTGTGTGTGTGTGTGTGTATATATATATAAACAGTTAAAATCCATAAAAAACACATTCCAACCCAAAACCACCGAGATCAAAACAGGATCTAAATCAATGTAATAATAATATTCCTACCAGCTTCTCCCTTTGAATCTACAAAGTTGGAGGAGGTGTCCAAGGTCCTGAACCAGTCCTTTTTTGCCCCTGAATCAACTCCACTCCCACTGTAAACCAGTTCTTCCTTCAAGGAAATTCACCTAGTTCCTTTGGACCCAAACCCAGAGCAGATTCCCACTTTGGCATGGCCTTCACCAGAGACCATAAAGGTTACTGGAGGTGGGTCTGGAACATCTCATTTTGTCCTTTTTGCAAGGTTGAAGTATATCATCTTAAAAAGACTGAAGTGAAGGTTAGGAGCTAGCTGGGTCATCATAGGCTATCACTCGTGGCTGAGTCTAATCGCCTTCCAAGTATAGGGTCTTGGTGGTGCGTCTGTAGGTGACTCTAGAGACCTCTTCTGGATCTGCATGTACTTTCACAGTGAGAACATCCATTTCCAGGTGGAGTTGGCTTGAGGAGCTTTCTTCGTCTTGGTCCATTTCTCCCATTCACCCTCCATTTGTGTGTCTTCAAATTCCACAGCACTGTTGGATACAGCTGACCTCCAGTTGAACACTCAAGGGCCAGAGCTTCCCAGTTGTCTCTTAGTGTCTATGCCACAGTTTTTAAGCCCGTCTTTCAGTCTCTTTTCCTGTCCACCAACATCTGTTTTCCTGTCCACCAACATTGAGAATATATTTACTGCTTTGGGAGACAGTGATCTCTGGGCATTCAGACATTGTGGTATTCAGCCCAGCACAGTTGATGGTGGAGGGTCACGGTTTCAATGCTGATGGTCTTTGCCTCTTCCAGAATGCTGACATTGTTCCAATTGTCTTCTTTTCAAGAGATCCAACTATCACTAGATGGGTATAGTCCCATCTATCTATCCAGTAGGACTGCCCCCTGAAATGACCACTAAATGAGAAGGACAGCAAGGCTTCTGAACCTTCAGAACCATGATCCTGTACACTTTCCTGTGGACACACACCTTCTTGACTTCTTTCAGAGGCAACTGGCCTAGGGTAAATGTGCAATTCCGTGTCCCTTCACTTTGGAGGAAACAATAGGACTCCTCAGCTATGAACCTAGAAAGAGTCCCAGATTGTCTTCCATGCAATAATAAAGCAGGGAAGCAATTAGGTTCAGGGGAGTAAGTCCCAAGAAAGACAGTGGAATTAACCTCTGAGTAAGCACTCAGATTCATTTGTTTCATTAGTGAGATGGACACCTGGCCACAGTGACCACTCTCTTCCAACCTCAAAGGAAGACAATGAGAAACTGCCTCTGAACAAATCTTGTCAACAAAACCACACAACATATTTATCTTAGGATCAAAGGCCAGAGAGGCCTTGGAAACACACAGCAGGAACAAGCACTCATCACTTGTGGCAAGAAGGGTTCTGAAGAGTTGCGTTTATGCCCCTTTGACCCCTACATTTTGTAAACATTGACTCTATCCACCAGAGTATGAATTCCCAAGATTCCTCAGCATTGGCTGTGCTAGTTTGTTGTGGAGGACTGTAGTCCATATCTGGTGGCCCACATTTCTTTCATCTTTGGTCTCAATGTCTTTGAACTGTGGTTTCCATCAACCTCAGCCATCTTTTTCAGGATGCTACTGTTGGGAGGTCCACTCCTGTTAGAAATCCCTTCTTAAGTTGCCTTCCTCCTTCCCTCCTTCCTTTCAGAAGAGTCCTCTCCCTCCTGCTTCACCAAAGGAAGCTGAGCTCCACAAAGATGACTCAAGGACCAACAATGGAGATGGTTTTTAAATAAGGGACAAACACTCCAGAGGAACGCAAGGGGAAGAGGGCCAGGTCAGCTGAGCCTCTGCAAAATAATTATAGAAACAACAGAGCAAAGGTGAGCAAGTAATGGAGACCTCTGGAGACCACAAAGCTATCAAAACCTTATTGCAAAGCTCTTTGTGATAAGCAGCATTCGAATTCTCTGGGTGTGCCACACAAGGCTTGCTCACTGGTAAGTGCTGCCTAACACGTTTACCATCATCAACGGCTGTGCCATATTGCCTGGAAGATGCAACTTAGCATTCCTTTGCAATCCGTGTATGTATGTATGTATGTATGTATGTATGTATGTGTATGTGTGTGTATGTATGTATATATATATATATATATATATATATATATATATATATATATATAAATGCTCTGTTCATTTTGAGTGACATCATAACTCAAAATCCACTGGACAAATTGCCACCAAATTTGGCCACAAGACACCTACTAACACAAGGAGTGACCATCACTCAAAAAACACCTGATTTTGTCATTTGGGAGTTGTGGTTGCTGGGCTTTATAGTTCACCTACAATCAAAAAGCATTCTGAACTCCACCAATGATCGAATTGAACCAAATGAACCAAACCACAGGACTCCCATGACCCAACAGAAAACACTAGAAGGATTTGGTGGGCATTGACCTTGTGCTTTGGAGTTGTAGTTCACCTACTGTTGACTCAAACAATGATGGATCTGGACCAAACTTGGCATAAATACCCAATATGCCCAAACGTGAACACAGATGGAGTTTGGGGAAAATAGACCTTGACATTTGGGAGTTGTAGTTACTGGGATTTATAGTTCACCTACAATCAAAGAACATTCTGAACTCCACCAACAATGGAATTGAACCAAACTTGGCACACAGAACTCCCATGACCAACAGAAACCCCTGGAAGGGTTTGGTGGACATTGACCTTGAGTTTTGGAGTTGCAGTT